ATATACATATATATGTGTACTTACACGCACATACGTGTTTCCTGTGTGAGCAATAAGTTTTCAAATGGGTTACAAAATTATGTGTACCCTATACGAGCAGTAAGACAGACCTTCACCCAAAGCCCCAACTACTCTCTACTATACCTTATAATACCCACTATTAAGGACCATAAGGGCTCTATGAAAGGATACTTGGGGCCTCAAAGCCCAGAGCCTTGAAAGTTTAGGGATTAGGGGGTCACGCCCCTATCCGGCCTAAGCTCCAAGCTGAATATGGGAGTTTCCGAAAATCAGAGGTACTTTATTTTGGGGTTTTTATGATAAGGATCCTACTATTTAGGACACTATATTAGGGTCCCCTATTTTCGGAAACGCCCATATGACAAATCAGCACGGTCTCACCGATGCTTCAAGGTGAACGGTGCACCTGTGTGCCGCGGACCCAGGCAAGTGCCGGTGCCTTGGCTTTCCCGAATCTCAAAATCCCGAAGTCTAAGCCAATCCCTAAACCTAAACCCCAAAACCCGAACCCTAAAACCCCAATCGTCAGACTCAGACCCTCAACCATAGACCCTCAATGTTTAGGTTGCGAGCACTACCCTATGCTATTCCCATGCCGGCCTTGGCAACTGTGCACCGTTGTCCAAGTACAAGGACCCCATACAAGACTAAGTTCCTGAGTAGTGCCCTTTTGCCCTTTTGGTTTTGGGGTGTCCTTCTTCAACACAATGATAGCCTTATTAATTACGCCCACCGCATCCTACGCAAACCTGAAACCCGCACATCAACTCTAAATCCTAAACCCTGAACCCCAAACATCCCCAAACTCTATATCCTAACCAAAACATCCACTCCGAAATCCCAAAACACCCTAACTGTACGAACCCAAGGATCCAAACTCACATCCTGAACGCCCCAAGCGTTGAAGGCCCAAAAGCCATGCATCATCAACTCTTGCTACTCCTAAACCGTAAACTTCCGTAAACTTTCCGTAAACTTTCCGTAAACTCCGAAACACTGAAGCATCCAAGGCTCCCGATGTCCCACTCTATCCGTTTATCGACCTCCTCGGATGCTCGGCAAGTTGAGGAATAATATAATCTACTACAGGGGCCTTAACACTGAAACTTAACACTTAAAATAGAGTTTTGGGGCCCTTCATATTTATAACTAGAAGAAGGAGCCCCCAAAATAGTATAGGTAATTATTTAGCCCCCTATGTTAGGCCCAGGGTTTCTTTGTATACGTGCCGTTTGGATTGGACTTGTCAGGAGTTGGCCTAGGATATAGATTTTAGGGTGTAGGGTTTGTGTTTCGAGTTTTTGGGTTAGGGGTACTCAAGCGGGGTTCCAGGGTTGAGTTGAGGCGCAGGACCAAGATCCCACTGTTGCTAATCTTGCTGGGGTTTATATAGGGTGCGGGTTTAGGGTTTGGGTCTCTTGACGGCTTCGACTTCTCGCGTACCGAGGAGTTATTATATGGAAATCCAACCGTGTTCGGGTAGCTCAGGGACCTGTCAAGCCACGCCTCATGTCCTCAATTCTAAAGTGTACACCAGACCACAAACCCCTATCCCCGGACCTCTACACCTTACGTTCGACCACCCCAAACCTGGAACTCAGAAGCTTTCAAAACCCTCACAACAAGCTTACAACACCACCTGCAACATCGAGTTGAGCAAAGCACTTACCAACACCCTCATGTAGATCCCCTGCAGAACCGGTACGTAGAAGTCTCTGAGAACCCGTATGCAGTGACATTGACCTTATAATCCCCAAGGTACACGCAAACCTAAACCCCAAAACATCGAACCTCAAAGCCATGGAACCTAAACCCTCAAAGCCCTAAGCCAAGTCATTCGCAGAGCCCTTATACCCTAAACCCTAAGCCGTTAATCCCCTAAACCTCCCAAGGCAACACCAAGGCGGCTGTGCTGACGCGGCCGAGTGCCGAGGTGGTCCGCGTTGCTGCAGCCACCGTCCAGAAGGCCGCCAGGGCTTTACCCAAAGACCCCCAAGTAGTTCCTTTTTGGGCTTCATATATAGAATCCGATAGGGTACTCCCAAAAAGGAACTCCTTTGGGGCCTCCCGGGCTTTAGGGCATTGAGGGTTGAGGGCTTTAGAGTATTAAAATGTATTAAAGTTCAGGGCTTTAGTGTATTTGGAGTTGAGGGTTTTGGGCTATGAGTGAAGGTTCAGGGTTTTAGGGTATGAAATGTACTGCAGTTCAGTGTTTTAGGGTCTTGAGAGTTTCGGGATATGGGCTGTTAATGAAGGTTTAGGGTTTTAGGGTTTAGCATGTAGGGTTTGAGGGTTTTATGGAAGGGTCTTATAAGGCTTTAGAAGGGTTTGGGGCCAGGGTTACCAGCGGGCCTCTACATTGCTTTGAGGCTCCCATTTGTTGAGCTTTGGGGTTCTGGGTTTAGGGTTTAAGGGTTCAGAAAAAAACTTAGTTGAAGGGGGTGGGTTGAGGTTCCGGTTTTACTTGGATGCTCAACTTGTAGTATCCCTTAACTGCCAAGACAGAAGCACATCCAAGTATCCGTAAATCCTAACCTTACACGCCTTAAGCCCTAAACCTTATAGCCCCCAAACCCACGCACCCCTAACCCCTAAACTACCTTAAGCTGCAGCTGCAGGCCTTAAATCCTACACCCTAAACCCTAAACCCCTAAACCCTAAACCCTAGAACCAAACTCGAAGTCTCAAAGACAAACCCTTCTGCAGGCCCAGAAGAAGAGTCTCCTCGGTGGGCAAGGCAGCCCTGGGATGCCTTGGCTTTTTAGGGTTTTCGGGGTTCAGGGTTTTAGGGGTTCAGGGTTTTAGGGGTTCAGGGTTTTAGGGGTTTAGGGGTTTATGAAGCGGTCATCGGACGATCCAGGCGAGACTGACGCAGGGATCCTTGCTCCAGATACAACACAGGGACGAACTAATTATGAATTACAAGCCAGTCTACGTCGAGCGTAATACCGAGCCCACGTGACTTTGGGACAAGCAAACATTAACGGGCACTCCACAGGCTCCCGGGGAGGCTCAAAGGAGATGGCCACCGCCCGGCTGTACCGTCTGTGTACCCAAAAGATTTCAGAGAGTTTACTCACGTCCGCGCGGACTGTACATGGCGCAATAAGTATCGACGGGACCTCCTCATTGATGCCCCACTGTGACAGCGTTTTGGCACGCGGCATCGGAAAATCAATCCCAGCTTCTTTAAACATGAAGCGCACTACGTTTCTAAACAAGTTTAACTGTTTTGAAAGGAGAGGTCGACACAACTTGAGTTGCGGGTACTCCGTTTCGTGCACAAAACACGCAGGGACATCTGCGACAAGCCCTATGGGCAACTGGGAAGGCTGCCAGGCGGCAACGTTTACCGGAGACAACCACCCGGTGGCGTTTGCAAAATGCAAGTACAGTTCTAGAAGACTAACCCCAGACTCAGTTTTGCACCAAGACTGTCCTAGGCAGTATTGGCGAAAAACCTGGCAAAACCTGGGCCCGAGCAAAGCACTCAGAACCTCAACCCTATCTAAACCTTGAACCGAAACAGGGGAGCCAAGCAAAAGTGGCACACTGCGTGGAGCAACCCGAGGGGCATTTACACCAGTGTCGTCTGCAGTACGTGTTCTGCTTTGGCGTGAACTAGCACAGCAAAGCGTGTGCTGTTGCAATTGAAACACAAGTGTGGCTTGATGGACTTGCGCCTGCAAATCTTGGCGCGCATGCCTGAACAGGGAAAGAGTGACCTCATCCTGCACATGTGCGCTCTTAGCCGTCCGATCAGCAGCATCATTATGGAAAGCAGTCCACTTGTCATGCGCAGTGGTGCACAGATTAGGGTTACGGTGGGACTCAACGTGGTGAATACGAAAACGGCCGCTTTTGGATTGGAGAACTTCCGCAATTTCAAACCACAATTCCGGCTCAGCAGCCTTTAACCACCACGAATGAACCCATCCTCTCCGAAGCAAACGCTTAAACCCCAAGACTACCCCAAGATTATCACTGTAGATATCTGCTGCCTCAGCCTGACGCACAGCAACGAAGACTGCAAAAAGTTCTGCACGGAAGTTTGACTGCACCCCTGGTAAACACCCCTTTGCAGCTACCGCGTTTTCGAAGGAATCTGGTTCAGCCAAGATGACTGACCATGCACTCTGCGAAACATGATCGTTACAGTAGGTGGAACCGTCAGTGAAAAGGCAGACATGCCCGTCAAAACATTCTCTCAGATCAGGCAGTGCCATTGAGTTTAGGTTGTTTTCGAGTTCAATTACGGCCTGCGGCGTAGGCCACGAACCCCAAGTTAGGATGAGGAGGGGAAGACTATCCAAAAAACCCTGGGGCAAACCTTCCCGTAGGTGGCAATAGAAAGGGCAGTGCCGGAGCCTATGCAGCTGGCTATCCACCTCACCGCAATGAGTGCATAGAGCTTCAGCATCTCCTAAAAAATGTTTCTTTTGATCTGTGAAGACAGCCGCACCGGCTGTAAAACATCCAACTTGGGCCCAACTGCATTTGGCAGCAGATCTTAGAAACATGGTTTGCCCTATTTCAGTGCCTTGGAGGTCATCTAGACCCTCTTGCAGAGGCAACTTTGGAAGCACAACTCTCCACCAAGAACCCAAAAACAAACTAAACCCTCGACGGCGACCCAAAAAAGGCAAGTGGACTACAAAACCTTCATCAGTTCGACGTCTAAACCCCTAAACCCCTAAACCCCTAAACCCCTGCACCCCTAAACCCCTAAACCCCTAAACCCCTAAACCCCTAAACCCCTAAACCCCTAAACCCCTAAACCCTAAACCCTAAACCCCTAAACCCCTAAACCCCTAAACCCTAAACCCCTAAACCCCTAAACCCTAAACCCTAAATAAGATCGCCTAAGGGCATCTTACATCCGGGTGTGTGTGGGTAAGCTTCAACTTCTATACCTTTTCTGCTACCTGGTTAACCAGGAGCAAACAAACATTTCCATTCTATCTTTCGACGCGGCGACGATGCCGTCAAGGAACGTTAGGATGTGGGTGGCAGACCTTGAGGAGATCAGGGCAGGCACTGCTCTGTCCTGGTCCCCTAACCTTGAGGCGCAGCTCCGCGCTGCTTTTGAGGAGGCTTCGGGCCAACCGCGTATCACGCGAGCTGAGGCATGTGATGCCGTTGCCATATGTGGATTTCCGGCATTGTTTTGGCTCGACTTCGGATACCGGTATATGGAAGCAAACAGGGTCTACTGGACCATCCAGAGGCTCCACAACATTCCGGTTTGGGTGGCCACCCAGGGGAGCATCTACTTCGTAGATCGCACACTTCATGTCCCCGTAGCTGACCAGCGGATTCTCGGCGAAGAATGGGCGACCGGCACTGTACGCAATACATTTGCCGCCCCGGGCTTGCGCCTGCACGAGTGGGTTGAGGAACGACGAGAGCTGGTTTGGCATGTGGCTGTTTCGGGGCTGCAGCACCTTTTTGATTCGGATACTGAAGGTGAGGATTACGGCTATGATCCATGGGAGTTCGACACATGGAGTTCGGCCGGCTGCAGCACCCAGGTTGACTCCCGATCCGAATTCGGCGAAGCGTGGGAGGCCGAAATGGGGGAGTCTCAGGTTGATGAAGGGTTTCAGCAGGACCAGTGGGAGGTTGAGTCAGTGCCTGCTTCACTAGTGGGCCCCAAGGAGCGTGTTGCGCGGATCCGTTTGTGGGATGACCCTTCCATTGATGGTGACGAGTTGGCGGAGTATGAACGTCGGATTGAGCAGTTTTGGGAGGAGCAAGAGATGAGGGAGTTTGATGAAATGGACGGCAGGATGTTCGATGAGATGTCGGCGCCTTACGAGATCTCGGTCGAGGGAGAGGCCCGGCAATTGGTGATTGAAGAGGACATGTGGAGCTGCGAGTCAATCACCCATGACTACGAGGCTGACGGCCTCCATTTCGTCCCGTGTGGGTTCGGAGGTAGTGCACTTAACGACATGGTGCACTATTTGACCAGCAATCACGTCGTCGAGACGGTTTCTGATGAGGCTTCGAACACGACTACGATTGTGGAGCATTGGACCTTAAAGCGCACGGCCCTCGGGCTTCTCGCATTTTGGTTGACAATTTTTGGAGCCCTCGGATTCTTTGTCAGCCAAGTGCTGCCACCCGGCATGGTTCCCTGCTGCTTAGCAGGACCCACCATTCGCCTCGAGCAAATGGTCGGTGCCAGGGAGAATTTCTTCGGCGCTATTCATTCGCCGTTCCAGACCAGAGGAACCCAGCCTGAGGATTTGCTCTGTGCGTTCGCGCCCTCGAACGTGTCTGAGCATTGTGTGAATACATTTCTCGTCGCCAGGACCGGCGAGAGATTCGGAGCCTCAGCAGAGGACCAAACTGACTACGTGCACAGGAAGGTGGACCCGAGAACAAAGGAGAAGAGATGTGAGTGCAAGCCGTGGCAGGCTACGAAGGATTACGTGAGGGGAATCCTCGATTGGTTCGTCGAGGCGGTAGAATTCCTGGGAAAGGCCCTCTCAGCATTCTTCGGTGCTGCTTCAACGGCCCTATTGACGAAGGGAGCCACGCTGTGTTGGGCTCTTGCACTGTTTGCTTGGTGGAAGCAAGGGGCCCTTCAAGTCGAGGTGGTTCGGGAGCAGCTGGGTGAGGATGTTCTCGCGGAGCTCCATCGACGAATGCGGGTATACCTCCATGGTGCTGAAGCTTGGCGAGATGAACGTGGGGCAAGGGATGATCGACGAGGTGATGAGGGGTTTTCTGATTCTGGAGCCGAGTCTTGACTGGGGTGACCTCTGCCACTGAGCTATGCCGCCGTCTCTGTCTTCTACCGGTGCTTGCTGAGGGTTTTTTCTTGGTTGAGGATGTGCCCGTAAGTTGGCCGTCCCTCCTGGCCTCATGGCCTTCTAGGATGCAGCCGGAGCCGCCCCCTGGAAAAAGGAGCCAAAAAAAAAAAAAAAACCCTAAACCCCTAAACCCCTAAACCCCTAAACCCCTAAACCCCTAAACCCCTAAACCAAGAACCACCAGACAGAACACTGCAGCTCCGAAACCCGAAGGCTTCAGTTCTAAGAGTTTAAACCGAGCATGACAGTTCAGTTAACTCAAAGGGGAAAAGGAGGGACCCTTAATGGGGGCCCTTATAATAAGGATCCTACTTTTTAAGGTACTATATTAGGGGACCCTTAATGGGGACCCCTAGCCTATAATGGGCTATAAAATGTCAGTTCTAAGAGTCTAAGCCGAGCATGACAGTTCAGTTAACTGCCCTAGGGCCCCAAAGTAGTTCCTTTTTGGGGGGCACGTAGATAGAATCCTATAAGGTAATCCCAAGAAGGAACTACTATGGGGCCTCTGGGTAAACCATGAACCCTAGACCTTGAACCCTAAACCGCGAAACCCCGAAAGCAATAGTCAGGTGGAGGAAATCCAGCCTTCTTCGATGCCTGGTGAGGAGTGCACATGGCACCTCTTCTTGCAAGCCATGGTGGGGTTAAGGGTTTAGGTACACCAGTCCTGAGCAGCCAGGTACGCAAGAAGCATGTACTCCCCAAGAAACCCCCTGCGCCCTTAAGTGCCTGTGAGGGTCTTTTCAAAGGCATAAGGCTCCAAGGACTCTTCATTTCCGACTGTCAGGGGTCCATGTTACGATCCAAAAACCCGCACTCACACTGGAGCATTTTTAGGGGTTATAGGTTTCGGGATTCCCAATTCAACAGACTTCTGTAATAAAGGGGACTCCCCCATGTCGGAACCTTGCAAACTACGAGGCTTCACTACCCTAAGGCCTCAAAGTAGTTCCTTTCTGGGGTTCATATATAGAACCCTAGAATCCCTAGAAGGTAATCGCAAAACGGAACTACTATGGGGCCTTAGGGTAAATCCCTATCCACCCATAGAGTTGACTCAGTGAGCTTGAGACGTACAGGAAGTTTCCGGTCGGCAAATTCCGAGACGACAACTGGATGGTTGTCAAAATTATGGTCCTTTTTTGGGTACCCTAAATATTAGGGGCCGTACTATAATAAGGACCCGAAAAGGGACCCTAATTTTAACAACCACCCAACTGAACCTCTATTTTGACGGTGACCTGGCAACGACAGGATGACTGAGTTCCCTGTGGATAATACGGGCGTATGAGCAACCAGTAACAGTAACAGCCAGAAAGTTGGAACATGATTATCCTAAACCCTTCATGGTAAATTATAGGGTATCCTACCCTGAAACCATATTCCAACTTTCTGGAGTTCCCTTTAGTAACTAGTGTTTCAGAGTCCGTGGACAACACAAAGCCGGAGGTCACAAACCAACCCCGTGTGCAAGGCTGAACGGAGGGAGGACGGGAGACAATCGATGGCTGAGTCTGCGTAAAATGCATGCAAGTGACACCCTAAACCCATATATACCTTGAAACCCTACGCCCAGAAACCCCAAGCCATCCTTGTTTTAGGGCTTGTCATGCTCTTGCTTTGGGGTTCAAGTGTGAGGGCGGAGGGTACACACAAACTTCAAGCTTTAAGCTCTACACCCTCGTCCCTGTGAGCCTGTACACCTCAGCTGTGGCTTCCAAACACCAGAGCTCAGGCACTGCGCGTTGACGAGCACTCGCCGAGCCACCGCCACCGGCAAGACCAAAGCCAAAAGATTGCACGTCGTCAAGGCCGGCAATGTAGGGGTCTGAATAAGTACTTGTGCAGCTGTACTGTAATGCACCTCCCACAAACTGATTTCTATTGATTACGGCCCCTATAGCACGTACGATAAGGGTACCAGCAGTGGCATTCAAGCTCAAAGTGGTACTCCAAAGAACGAGGGCGTTGTCGGGGCCTGCATGTTGACAGGGTTATTGCCTTCGGGGCCCTACATACCCATGAGAAGATATGCCAAACCCGGTTCTTTTTCAGGCCCTTGTGTTTTACTAGGTCTGTCTTGGAACTCGGGTTTAGACTTCTAATTCAGGTCTTCAGGCTTTTAGGGTTTTGGGATTTTGGGATTTCGTGTTTCGGGAGTAAAGGTTTACTTTCTGAGGTTCGGGGTCCCGAAGCAGGAATGGATTCGACGAAGACGTGGGACTTCGCGACCCGAGACACGAACACACATCTGGTAACTGCTCTCCGACATGGCACAGCTCCAAGTATGACGAGACGTTCTGTGCATCTTCCAGGACCGAAGTACTGTGGGTAACGTGAAGGAGTTTTGAGTTTTTGAATAGCCACTATGTCATTTCGTCAGCCCGAATTGGCCGATTTCTTCACTAGCACAGCACGTTGCAGTTTCAACGAGAAGCCTAAACCCCGCCGGAACACACTGACGACTACTATGATGCTGAGGCTCTAAGAATAGAAATAACACCACTTTGGGATTTGTTAGCTCGTGACAATGGGGTGAGTGAGGAGACTGGCCCAGCATCGTCCAGAAGATGACGTGCAACTACTGCGCGACCCCGTAGACGAGAGGATGCTTCTTTGCAGATTCTGGCAGCCGGAGCTTGCAGAAGTGAGGCCGGGCTCACTGAACCCTTGATGCACTTGTTTTGAGGGGCTCTGTGTTAAGAGCTTTCGACAGAAGTTGGCCGGACCCCTGGACACTACTTAGAGGGGTCTGGGGTTTAAGGTTCACGCGTCTTCAGAGTTCGGTTTGAGGGTTTCCGGGGTTTTACCCCAAAGTCTGAAGCCCTAAACTGCGAAAGCCGTAGGTTCTGGCGCCCGAGACCTTGAACCGGAAACTTCAGATGCTGCCTATAGTCTCCATTGTAGTTCCTTTTTGGGGTTACCTTTTAGGATCCTTAATATAAAATTGGTTAAACCAAAAAAAGGAACTACAATGGAGACTATAGGTGGAGTCTGAAGCAACCCCAAGGCCGATAAACCTCAGGATTTCCGGAATCCATCCAGACCAGCACGCACTACTTACATAAGGGCTCCATAGTAGTTCCTTTTGGGGGTTCATATATAGAATCCTAAAAGGTAATCCCAAAAAGGAACTACTATGGAGCCTATGGGTACATACTGTTGCTAGCTGCTGACGTAGACGTAAACCATGAATTGCTAAACAGCAAGCATAGCCACGCGTTTACATTTTTTTGTGAACCTTAGAACCCCCCAATCCCGAACAGGACAACTGGCGCTGGACGGAAAGCGAGCTCCTGGACGCAAAGTTCAGTACGGGACGCGATGTCGAACAGATCATTGACAGCAGCAACTCGCCCGGCACCAAGCTGAACTGGGGTTAGGGCCCTAAACTCTAGACACCCTAAACCCTCAGCCCGGGTTTAGGGCTCAACCGCAATCAAGCGGCCAAGCAAGACTTCACTTGAAGCCCCTGCTCCAAATGGGGTACCCGAGACCCTATAATTCTATAAGCTTCTAGAATACTAACTTCCGAACCGAAACGCCAGAGAAGCCCGGCGCCAAGCCCTGGGTCCTGAACCCGACATCCGCAACCCTTCCTCAACCCGGAATAACCTACCTCTTTTAGGACGTCTATAAGGAGATCATAATACGGAACCTGAAAAAGGTAGGTTGTTCAGGGTGAACCGTACACCCTAAAGCTTTCGTCACCCTCAACCCTATATTCTAACCTCAATGCCGAACTCTGAAACCACATGACTGGGCAGCCTTTCACGGCCGAAACGTGCGGGTATAGTTTCACGTGTGATGTTTCCCCATCGGTCAAGGAAATGCATCCCTAAACCCTTACAAACCCGAAGCCCTAAACCCGAATTACATCCTGGGGCGACGGAGGATTTATCATTTGGGTCTTGGCGAGATAAGTTGCAGGGTCAGGCCCAACATGACAATTCGTCATGGTTCATGACAATTCTTACTCTGATCTCCCTTGTACACCGTGCATAGATGCTCAGGCTCAACAATCAGTTTCCGTGAAACGGCTTCTGAGATCAAGCGGTTGCGCTACGCATAGATCCCAAGACATTTTACTCGAAGGAGCATTTTGCACTACATAGGCTCGGGTATGACGTTTGAGGTGCGTTTAATTCCAGGGGTATTGGACTCTCTGGGTATCTGGGCACCTGAACTTGTGGAGCCTGGGAAGCAAATATTGGTCCAGATGTGACACCGTGAGTCTGAAGCCTGTAGCGTCCACATCTGCTCTGCGTGAGTTTAGGGTCTGTGGAGCCTAACCCTAAACCCTGCAAGCCCTAAACCCTATAAACACTGAACCCTTGAACCCAAACCCATAAACTTTGAGGTCGGATCTGCAGACGGAAAAAGGGTGCTTCAACAAAAAACACTTCAGAGTTTACAGCTCAAAGCTCTAAACTCTCCCAGGTCAGATGCTACACGGAGCAGCTCCCAGCGAGATGGCGCCAACGCGCAATGCAGAGACCATTTCTGGGGCAGGCAGGACGGGTTCAATGAAGGTCTAAAAGCTTCGAGTTGTTAGATTCTGGACTGGTTTAACACAGGGGCATGAATAATGTGCCCTTATATAAACAGCCGATATACCCACAATTCTATAAAGGAATAAGACTATGTGTATATATACATGTATATACACACACACATATTCGTAATATATACATACATAGACCGATAGACAGATCGATAGGTAGATACATAGACAGATAGATAGATGCATGGTTAGTTGTGTATCTACATATGTATCCACATCTACTAGGTCACACGCGCGTGAGGCGCCTGGCTACTTTCAAGGGTCTCAATGTGCTTATTTCCTAGGTTGTGGTATGATTTTAGCTAAATTTCAATTTATTAGCAAGAGCTGAAACTATTCATTTTTAGTGACACATCAGCTAATTTACAGC